TAAAAAATTTATATATATATAAACCAAAATTAGAAATATTTATATGTAAAAATTTATATTATTTTACTTTTTTTTTTATTTTTTTTTAAATTTTTTCATATTTATTTTAAAGAAAAAAAGAAAAAAAGTAGGAGCAAGGGCAAGGGTGAGGCAGGGAAAGCTGAATCCCGCCAGGGGCGGGAATTTTACCCTTAGCGAGTATCGCGGGTGGGGGCGGTTTAAATTTGCAGGGGCAGGGGCGAGAAACGTAGAACGTACCCTCGCCTCATTGCCATGCCTATTGGACCCTCAATCTACTAGAATTATCTCGTCACTTTGATCAATAGAAATGGATTCCTTCATTAAGTCTTCAAATTCAACAAAGAATTTTTACAATAGATCGTCAAATTCAACAAATGATTCTCCACTAAATCTTTAAATTCGATAATTTTCTCATTTCATTAAACATTATAACTAGGTTCCAACTCAAAATCAACAAACTCACATTCTAAGATGACTAACAATCTAATAATGAGTTATTTACCATATTATTCACACATCAAGTTCAATAGTATAGTATAAGAGCTTGTGTATTTAAAAAACTAAAATACCATATCGGTTGATGATAAAGCCAAAATAAAATATAAGATAAAATATTTTTTTAAATCGCTAATTTTTTTTTAAAAATTCGAATTTAGTCCCTTGAATTTCTTTTGAACTATTTTGGATCCCTCTAATTTAAAAATGTATCAATTTTGGTCCTTAAGGTATTTTAGATAGCACTTAAAAATAATTATAAAGCACTATCTAAATCATTTTACTCAGATTTGATTAGAGTTTTTGGATCCGTTGGTACCCGAACCTAATTGTTCGAGCAAAATAAAGGCCAAAAAAATTATCATTTAGGTTCATAAACTAAGCTTATTTTACCTCATTTTTAATCTTTATTATTGATGTACAAAGAATTTTAGTTGATAATATACTTTGTAACTTGTTTTTTCTATATATGTACCTAAAAAAATTATTTTAATATTTAAATTATTTTAAAATTTTATTTATTTTAAATCTAAACAAACTAAATAATATTTGAATATATAAAAAAGATCTAAGAATTAAATAAAAAAAATAAGAAATTAAATAAAAATTTTATTTAGGCTAATTAAATGATTCAAAATCCAATATACC